TGTGATTAATGAGCAAAATACAATTGTTCCTTAAAAAACTAAAGTTGTGAATTGTGAAATTATTTTTCCACAGATGCAGAAATTATTTTTAATAACTCAGACTGTTATATCTTTGAGATTTACTGGAATTTACACATGCTTTTAAAACTACACACCTACTTGAAGGAGTGTCAGGGAATTTTAAAGTTGAGAAAAAGTAGACATATGTTAATTATAATGTTCACTTTTTTCTATGACTTCTCAGATACAATGAAGCCAAGAAAAAGATGGATCCAGGCTTCCCTAAACTTATTGCAGAATCTTGGAGCGCTGTCCCTGATGACCTAGATGCTGCTCTCAGTCTCAATAGTGATGGTAAGAGACTAATGGCCAAGCACCTGGCTTCAGATCCAGCTTTGTCTGTGGTATTCCTCTGCAGAGAAAACCTGACCTCTACCCTGAATTAACCTTTCATCTCATTCCTTTCCCCTCTCTCACCTACATTCTGTTAGATCTCACATACTTTACTGATTTCTTTTAATAACTGCCTGAGTTTTAGTGCTCAATGTGTGAGTGAATTGGACCAAAGTGGAGTCTGGTAGAGCATTCTTGGCATTTAACTCCAACCCAATTACTGCTGGCTTTAGGCCTTCAACAACAACAAAAAACCCCAGCTATATGGTTCCCCCTGCTCAAGATGAGGCATTTTTTTCCAGTAACAGCCTCTGTCTAAAGAGCACATAAAACTCTAAACGAGAGAAAAACTTGGAGAGAGAGCTTAAGGATTTATAACTTTTGCTTAGATCTACTAGAATTTACTTAACATACATGCTTTTACAACCACCCAGCTCTTTCCTCTGCTGTCACTAACACACATTTACACTCATACAGGTACATACACACACATGTACACGCCTCATAGAGCAGGCTTGTGTGGTGTCTGAAAGGTTCCTCTGTTTGTAATTAGGCTGTTTGGAGCTGAACAAGTAAAAACAGCTTCTCTAGGTTGTGAATTAGAGCCCACTCTTCAAGATTTTAGATAATTTGATCACTGATTGATGGATAAATTGAGACATTGATTAACTAACTCTATTAAATAGACACGATTTAATTTACCTCATTTTTTATTGTTTTTTACACTACTTTTCAAAAGTTTAGAGTCGGAAAAAATAATAATTTTATTAAGCAAAGACATTTACATTGTTACAAAAAAAAAATATTTCGCATAAATGCTGTTCTATTTACACTTATTCAATATTTTCAGGTCACAGCTACTTCTTCAAAGACTCCCACTATCTCAAAATGGATGACAGCACTCTGAAAATGATTAAAGTTGGGGAGATCAAAAAGGACTGGCTACGCTGCTGAACATTCAGCCCTGGCACTCTGTGATGACCTTCATCACTATATAAAAAAGGCCAGTGTTACCTTGCCAAATGACAGCACTCAAATTTACCATTCTGCCCCTCCTGGTTAGTCAGAGCCTATAAGATTATAACCTATCCTTAGCTAACCAGAGCGGCCTGAAAGCCTTCACAGCCTGGACCATCTCTGCATGCCAAACATAGGCAGAAAAGACTGTCATTTTTGTTGTTTTGTCATTGCGTGATATTTTTTGTTCATTTTTAATTATGAAAGGGTTTAGCTCCTACCCCTTAATATAGCCTACATGTAGATCATCAGATTTAAAAGGACTTGTGACATTTCCCAGTTACATGTAAATGTGGCAGTGGTGTCAGTGAGATGTATCTCCTTTTTTTTGTTTTAATTTGCACAGAATAAATTCATCCAAGCAATATGTAAAAGCACAAATTTTCCTAGTACTGATATGCAAAGATGAAAGACTTAATTCATGTTTTATTTTGTAGTAAATACTGTCCAATAAAACATCCTGCATTTAATACGAGGACACATTTTATACATGATAATTGTGTAAAAACAGAGACCAAACAACTGTCAAAGCATATCATTTTTGTTAGTCTTGTGTCTTTCGTCTCATGGTACAGAGAGATTCATGGCACGGGTTGCCTGAAGACTGTATAGGGTTTGTTGCATGATGGACTCATGTCAAGCAAATATCATGAGATTACTGAATAATAATCATTTGTACTCTTTTTTTTTATTTTTATTGTTTTGTTTTTTTGGTAGTTTTTTTTATTGACATATGCAATCTGTTTATATTTGTAATGTTTTATTTTTATTATTTTCTATTTTGCTTTGTGCACTTTGTCACTGTCTCAAAATAAATAGTAACTATCCTTTACATGGAATTTTGCCATTTGCCATTTAACTTTTCAGTTTTAACATAGTTTTTGTAAAGCATTGAGCCTCGTGATGATCATTTGATTTTCTCACCAAGAAAACAGTATGTATGTTTCCCGTTATTAAACTTCTTCAAAATTACTCGTCGCATTTAGGCAAACAGCGACATCTAGTGGTTATTGTATAAAAAGCCGAGCTCTCAATATGGTTATAGAATAGAATAGAACTTTATTTGTCATTGTTTAGGAACATCGAAATACAGTTTAGCAGCTCTTCAGATTAGCAGGTAACAAACAGTATGACAGTGTTTATAAACAAGAAAGTAGACATTATACACAGACAGCAACATTCAAGACAGGCATAAATATAAGAATATAATTACGCTGAGGTAGTGCAGTGAGGTAGTGTCGTATTCAATACCCCGCATAATTATCTATGGGTTAAAAAAAAGCTTATATTGTACGTTTTGATTGTGGCAGTGTTTTGATGTTTGAATGTTTTGAAAATATCTTTACTGTAATAGGCCTACAGAAATACACGGCTGAACTTAAAAAAATTCATCTACTTTAAATCTAGAATGCAGTTTTGGTTTGAATGGATTGCAGGTAAATATACTTAATTGTATGTCCTGTTCTTAAATATCCCGTTACTGTTTTGTGTACTGTTAAGTGAAGAACCGTTTTAAACGATTCAGTGCGTGTCCGAACTGTTCAGACCGTAAAGGCCCGTTCACACCAAGAACTATACAGTAGCCTATTAGTGTCCACACCAGCAGACGATATCGTCTGTTTATTCTAAGCGCACGCTCGTCTGCCGCATTAAATTCTTCAGCTCGTGACAGCAGGATTGATTCTGATTGGGTGTCGATATTTTATCGTTCATCAGCTGGACAAAAATCGTTCTGAAAGTGATTCCAACGATATCGTTTCTCTGTGCCTTTATGGTTATAGTTGTGTGGTGTAGACTCTGCTATTCTTTAATATTGAGAACGACTTTTAGAACTATAGCCTATATATATATCGTTATTTTTATAGTTATGGTGTCTTTTGTTCAACCCTTTAAAAAGAATCGGCTCAAACGAGTGATTCATTCTCGAGTCGAGCATCACTGCTTCCGAACAGCAAATAGAACTAAGGGATGGGCGATACCTCTTATTTTATTTTCGATCCAATACCGATCGAAATTTTCAAGCCCAGTATCGTCGATACCGATACCTCGGTTACATTATTAAAATAAAATAATCAGTAACTATACTCACTTAATATTAGATTTTAAAGCCATGTTTTTTAAATTTCATAGGCCTTTTTTGTTTACACTGTCATAAATAAAATATACTATAATTGTATTTTAGCCGTTTACTGGGGCAGTAACCTCAAAGGTGCAACTATACCCCTAAAAGAGAGCATATTAGTACCATACAAGTATGCATGCTTTAAGGGTAGATAAGTTACAAAGGTGCACCTTTGAGGGTACCTCATGAAAAATAAACATGGTGTTACATAAGTATTAAAATATATTATTATTATTATTACCATGGTAAATGTGTGGTTACTGCAGTTTTACTACAAATACTGTGTTACTGTAATAAAACCATGGTTAATTTTTGTAAAAGGCTGCCAGGCTGTTGTACCCCTAAAGGTGAAACTTTAGCATATTTCTTTATAAAACAGCAATTACAGAACATAGCACAATCCATTTGAACTTTTATCAACCAGTTTAATAAGTTTACTTGCACAAACTAGCCAATTTAAAATACATATTACATGTACACAAAAGTTTGGGGTCAGTAATATTTTGTAATATTTTTTTTATTTTAATATTTTTTTTTAATAATTTTCAGCATCATTACTCCAGTCTTCAGTGTCACATGATCCTTCAGAAATCATTCTAATATAATTTGCTGCTCAAGAAACATTTATTATTATTGCTGCTTCATATTTGTGTGGAAACCATGATGCATTTTTCAGAATGAATGTTATATATAGTAACAACGTTATGTAATATAATAATGTGGCAATGGTTTCTTAAGATCTACTTATGCTTCTGATGCTTTTGGGAAACAGCCCTGTTTGAAGAAGCACTCTGAGCCCTGTGTCAGCAGCGGTTCTTTCAGCATTTGCGTGTGTTCCAGGAGAAGTGGTTCTATCCAACACAATTATTCGCTAATATAGTCTATTTTTCCACTTAGAAGCTTATTTTATGCACCGAATTTCTTGATCAATAAATACAATTAATGGTTAAAAATGCACTTTATATTTTGATGTGATGTGTTTTGATGGCAACATCAGTATCGAAAGTATCGATACTTAAGGATCGCTCCACCCATCCCTAAACGGAACATCACGGAATGAAGTATGGTCAGAAAAATGTTTCCCAGCACCGTGTACTCCCTCGTTGAACAATGATCAGTGAGATTTCATTAGGGCTTGCGACGCCACTGTTTTAAGCTGTCACTTTATAACACCGAGTGGCTACTACATGGCTAATAGGATAGGATTATGTCCGTAAGAGGTGGGGTGTAAACACAGGCTTTGTCTCAAAAACCAACTAAGCTCCCTAGTTACAGACCGTTTCAGGACATTATAAGCGCATTTCGAGGCAGCCAGTGCACACACAGAAACTCGACTTTGACTCCAACTCGTCTGGACTCCTGGGATGCCCAAAGTTGCAGCACGCGCCTATGATTAAAAATTGCATTCTAGTTAGGTAGCTCCCTTGATTGTGAAACATCCGCAGACCGCTAGAGCTCGAGTCATGTGTGAGGTGGTGCTTCTGGTGTGTAAAGAGGAAGCTCTTCGTTTGGACACATGAAGAGCAGCGCTGCTGTGGTGAGTGAAGATGCCTCCGCAGAGAGTGTACGCACTGCCCAGACAGCGTTCCCTGCTGCTGCCCGCAGTCATCAACCCATTCACGCACGACCTTAAGTTAACCAAAGCCGAGAAAATCAAAGTGAGTCCTGCTCTCAATTTATGACATGCCTGTCAATATTATTCTTCACTTAAGTCATTCGATTCTTCATCGTATGCATTTATCCACATTTAATGTGATTTGCCTAAAGATTCGTTTCCCTCTAATCTTATTGCATGATCTCTCTTACTTCCTCCGTTAGTCTTGATTATTCTTACAATAACTTGGGGAACATGGTTGAACAGGGAACAGGATTAGCACATTTAGAAAATGTTTCATTTGTCAGATTAGTAAATAAATGATAATTACAATTGCCTTCATGCTGCAGAAAGTGTTCAAATAATGTTACTTCTTTGATGTTACAATTTTAAACAGTGTTACCGTTTTTGTAATAAGGAAAATCACGCAGTTACGCAGTTCACAACATGTGGTAGAAAGAATGTTATTCATATTTTTGTTATAAATGTTTGTTGTAAAATTGGGTAATAAGATGATATATTATTATTAATAATAATACTATGGGGTTATTGAATGCTTGAATCTGATTGATTGATTAATGTTTTAAGGTGTGTAATTATTTTCAGAAAAACACAGGGCTAAAGTACTTCCAGACAGGTCTTGACTGCATTACCGTGTAGTTTAATTAATTTTTAATTAATTACATGTCCACATAATACTTAAGTCATCCTGCAGCCAATGATGGAAGTTGTGCTGGGTTATTTGTATGTTAAATAATAGTTTATTATATGTGTTAAACAGGTCTCTGTATTCATGAAATATGCTGCTGCATTTTAAAAAAAAATTTTTTATTCATGTTACACTTGGAGGTTGTTATAATTTGCTTAATACATAATTATTTTTCCCCCTTAAACCAATTCCATGACAGCCTTTCTCTTAAAAGGTATATTTGACATTTATTGTGTGTGTGTGTGTGTGTGTGTGTCAATTTTTTCTCATGTCTGTGTGTAGTGTTTTCTTCTAGGAATCATCCTTGTGCCTCTCCGTGGCATTTTCTTGCTTCTCGTTCTCATGGTCATGTGGCCAGTTTCTGTCATGATAACATTCAGACAGTCTCTGAAAGGAGCAGTGGAGCCCATGACTGGCTGGAGAAGGTAAATACCGATCCCTGTTCACTCATGTTACACACAGGTACACGCCACCAGCTACAATTCAGCGCAAGACTAAAATACACCTTTTTTAGGTGCACCTTTTTTGAGCTACTTATTCTCCTGGCCTAATAACTAAACTTGACCGCTAGCACATTAAACCTTAAACCTTGGCCTTACAGATAGCGCTACCTCTTACCATTTTCTGATTTTGTCTTAGTTCCTTATTTGTTCCTTTTGCTGCATGCTAAAAAATGTTTGTGGGTGGGGTGGGGTGGGGTGGAAGGGAGTGTGTTTGTGTGTGTTTGTTTCATCTGTATTAATAATAAGATGTGAGAGTTGTTAATGTGAAATTTGTGGTTTGCATATCAGCAGTTACACATATTTGCTGCATTACAGAGCCCTTCCATTCTGTTTAATTCACGCTTCTCTGTCAAACAGGCCACATGGTTTCTTGCAAATTTAGCTGTAACTCATTTCTTCTCAGACTGACCACACGGATCAGATTAATTAAGTCTTAGCGTAGGAGGTAGAGCGGCTGTTGGAGGGATGTGGTTATTCTCTTAACTGATGCAACAACATGCTGATCTGACAACCAATGAGGACACAGTGTCAAAGCCGTTAAAGAAAGCTTTTTGTGCTTATGAGTGTCAGTATGGTGGACTAATTGATGTCATTACCCAGTATGATTCCTCATGTTTTGTGTGCTTGTATGTGTGTTTGTGGGCAGGTTCATGCACAAAAGAGTGATGACCTTTCTAGGCCGGCTGTATTTCTTCGGCATGGGCTTCAGGGTGGTGGTGAAGGGGAAGCAGGCAAGCAGTGTAAAGGCCCCCATTCTAGCTGTGGCCCCTCACTCTTCTTTCTTTGATGCCATCGTATGTATTGAAGCTGGTCTACCCTCGACTGTATCCCGCTCAGAGTCCTTGGAAGCACCAGTCTTTGGCAGTATGGATATTTGCATCAATATCGGTCTACTCAAAAACAAAATCGAATGCCAAATGGTTTCATAATGTGTTCCAGTAGCTTTGAATATGTGTGCTTTGTTTATCAGTTTGGTTTCTGTTACTGCAAAGTTGTGAACAAATACCACAGTCAACACAAAGAAACAAACCAAAATTAAACCAGGGCAGACCAAAAAACAAAGTTAAATATCCATTATTGATGTTAATTTTGCATGTGTTATTTTGACTATTAGCATTACTTATCATTCCCTTGTTCTTCAATGGGTAAGACGATATTATGTTCCCCAGGGTTTTTGCGCTGTGTGCAGCCAGTGCTTGTTTCACGCAAAGATCCAGACTCTCGTAGAAACACTATCCTTGAGATTGAGCGCAGAGCAAAGTCAGGCGGACACTGGCCACAGGTGAGTGTCTCCACTTCTAGCATCATAAAGGTCTGTAAAACCACAAATTTGCTTGATTACAATATCCATGAAAGATTATGCTGCCTCACTTGTCACTCCAGTATTTAATTATATTTTAATTTTTTTATGTGACTTAAAAACGGTCAAAAATAAAAACGTGTTAAAAAAAATGAAAGGTTAAAAAAATATATACCTTGTGAATTTCACAATGTGAAACCAGAGTAACAAACTAAGTGTATTCCCGCTTTTGAAAGCAGGAAATTACTCTTAGACCTGTACTTCCTCAGCTAGAATAAAGGATGTCCGGTTCCTAAAGAAAGTTCGGTGTCAACATTCTGGATGTTTAATTAGTTTTACCAACTGTATTATTAGGAAGTAAATATTTTTTTATCAAGCAAACTGTGATCTGTGATTTGCATCCAAATTAAGCCGCCATGATAGCTATGGTACCACTGAAAATATCACTAGTGTTATTTTCTTTTTTAGGTACTCATTTTTCCTGAAGGAACATGTACGAACAGATCATGTCTCATTACCTTTAAACAAGGTTAGCAGATTAAGCTTGTTTTTGTTTGTTATGTAGAAATGTTAATTATAATATGGACACTATAATAATGCAGATGAACTGTTAAGGTCTAGTTGAGATGTTACAGATACAGTAAAGATACAGATATAGTGTGTTGTAGCAAAAGTCCATAATAAAGTATATAATGAAGGTTGTGTATGAACTGCACCATATGAAAATCTTGTCCGTTATCAGATTCAAAGATCAAACTCATTTTCGTAATGCAAATGTTTACAAGAGATGGGGAAAAGAAACTACTGTGGTTTTAGGGGTTTCCAAAGCCTACAGTTTGTTTTGGTGTACTAAAGAAAGTAGAATGAGGTCTGCTGAAGCCAGCAAAACCAGCAGCACATAAAAGAGAGGGAGTGTTGTGTCTATGAATAAGTATTATCCAGTAGTTTGCAGTAGGCTTAATTAATTTAGCGGGTCAGAGGGATATTTATTGTTGTATTATGTAAGATCGATAGATTTTTCTTTCTATATTCAGGTCATATCATTTGGACAGAGTTTGCTTCATTGATAATCATTGATTGTCCACTTGAGAACCAGTCAAATAGCTGTGACCTGATATGCAGGCCATGGTATTATCAATGGAGTGTCAGACAGGGATTTAACTGCATACTGAAGCATATGAATCCATAAAGAAAACAGATGGAACTGTTGTACTGAGCTGTGTTTTAGGAGGTATGAATGTAGCTACAAAGTACGAAGAGAATGAATGGAATGAAATGAGAATGAATGAAACTGGCTTATGTGCTATTCTCTTTACCTCCATAGGTGCCTTTGTCCCAGGAGTCCCAGTACAGCCTGTTCTGATCAAATACCCAAATAAGTTGGTTAGTATCAATTCAACAGAAGTCCTATACTGTTGTTATGATGCCTCAAATTGTGGTGTCAAATGCAAACACAATAGAGTAACACAAAAATTGTAAACACATGTAAAATGCAAATCCATAAATAACCAAGTAGACGCCACTATTGTAGACCATAAAATTAGCATACAAATGCATAGGCCACCTAGCAAACTAAAGGCTCTGCAAGTCTGTCAGTCTGATGTGCTTGTGTGAATAGCTCAATGTTCATACCTCTTTAAGAATTCTTACAAAAGTTTGTATTTTTAATATTTACAGGACACAGTCACATGGACATGGCAGGGCCCAAAATCGTAAGTAATAATAAACATAAACAAAGCCAAACGTATTTACACGGCTGATGAAATGCTTCCACAATTAGGCCTTTTCCAATCACTGATACAACAAAGAAGTCATAATTCAGAATCACATGCCAGGATTGCATATAATGTTGCAAGAAACACTCTGGTGAGCCAAAAAGGATGTTTCGTTGGTTTATTGGCATTTAAGATAAGACAAATAGAGATCCATTTTATATTCAAATAAAAAAGGAAAACAGCGTGCTGTCTGACTAAATTCTCATCTTCCTCCTTACACATTGAGACATCTCTGCGTGTGTAGTGTTGTAGATTGCTTCCTTAGATAAGCTTGGTTTTAAGACCCTTTTGTAGTATGTCAGACAAGAAATGCATTTGCACGGTCATGCATATAAAGAGAGCAGTGCTTCCTGAAATGCTGTTGGTTTGGAACCTCACCACCAGTTCCTGTTTTAGGGCCAGACTACTGCTGCTCACACTCTGTCAGCTCTATACTGCAGTGGAGGTTGAGGTCTGTGAGAAACATTTGTGTATTTCATGATAATATTCTCAGCTTTTTGCACCTTTGATGTAGAAACATGAATGACAAACCTAACCTCACACACTATATAGCTAATCTCCAAAAAGTTACGTATATATGTATTGTGTTTGTTTTAGTTTCTGCCCCCTCAAATTCCTACTGAGATGGAGAAAAAGTGTCCTATCAAGTTTGCGCAGTCAGTGAGAGCTGTGATGGCTGAGTAAGCATGCCTTGTTGCTATTTATTCTCCCATACTTTATAATATTATTTTAATTGATGTTTACAATGTGTGCACAATATGATATTTCAATGTTAATGACTGTATCACAATTTCTCACTCTGTTATTAGGTCTCTGGGCCTGCCTGTCACAGACCACACCTACGAAGATTGTCGTCTGATGATTGCAGCTGGAGAACTGACCCTACCTATGGAGGCAGGTCTCGTGGAGTTTACCAAGATCAGCAGGAAGTTGGAGTATGACTCAATATAATATTCAAAAATACATATCCTTGGTATTAGTAAACGTTTTGAGACTGGTAGCCCACATGACACATCATTTAAGCTTATCGTAGTTTAAGCTTAAAATCTCTGTTGCAAATTCAGATTAAAATGGGACAGTGTGAAGAAGGAATTGGAGAGTTTTGCCAACATAGCCTGTTCTTGCAAAGGCGGCAGGATCACAATTGAGGAGTTTGCCAGCTTTCTCAAACTACCCATCAGCCCAGCTCTACAGGAGCTCTTCAGTCTGTTTGACAGGGTGAGTATGTCTATAACTAACCACATGGAAAAAGATATGGAAAAGAGCACCGCTTCGATCCAGAAAATAAGCTGAGTGTATGAAATACTCTGACATCTGCTTTAAAATCTGTTTTATTGTCTTCATATTTCAAAAACAACAAATTTAAATCTAAATGGTACTGGATGAATTAAACTGCATTGTATTGCATTCACAGTGTGGTCTGTTTGTTGTAGAATGGCGATGGCACTATTGATTTCAGAGAGTATGTCATTGGTGTCACAGTTCTGTGCCGCCCAGCTAATAATGAGGAAGTCATTCAGACTGCTTTTAAGGTAATGATATCACAGATAGCACTGATGTTATTCTGAAAAAAATATCATGATGAATTCTCAGAATGTGATTGTGCAGAGATCAAAATATTTAATTTGATAAAGATTTAAAGAAGACCTCGTGTGGTGTAGTTACGAGGGTAAACCATATTAGTTCTGAAGTGTCAGTGGTTGTTCACAACTTGAGGTGGTTTACAAACAGTAGAACATTACTACGGGGGACTACTACTGTGTGATTTATTGTCAAAAAGTGTTCATATGTATATATAAAAATGAGGCCGATAGATGTCTAGTTGTGTTTGTGAATTCTTTCTACAGCTGTTTGACATTGATGAGGACAACTGTATCACACAAGAGGAGTTTAGCAGTTTGCTACGTTCTGCTCTTGGAGTATGTGATCTTGATGTCCACAGCCTCTTCAAAGAAATTGACACAGATGGATCAGGACACATAACTTATGGTCTGTATGCCAACTGTAGCATCTACCACAGTGATAAGATAGAAGTGCCATCATTCAGAGAATACTTTTTTAACCATGGTGTATGAAATGTATCAAACAAATAACATACCATTAGAACTGCTGCTATTATAACCAACTGTTCTGTCATGTTAATATATATATATATTTGTACATAAACACACAATTCACAGGAACTGTTAATTTTTTTATTTTTTTTTCTCCAAGTTGTGAAACCAAATTGTTGCTTGTAAGACTGAGCTGAACTACACACAGGCCTAACATTTGCAATGTCAACTTTGGCTGATCTTTTAGGTTGTATTAAGCAAATTACTTGATGCTGAATTGCATTATATTAACATCATCTTTATTAAACTTGATCTTATTGGTTTGAAAATATATTTAGGCATAATGTTTCCAATAAAGGTTTAAATACAACTGCTCAGCGAGGACTCCGTGAAATGCAAGAGTTTACAGATGTTACAGCAATATTTTCCTGTGAAGCTGCTTTTAAACCATGGATTTAACTTGACTTGACAATCTAGGGCAGGGATCCTCAAATCTGGCCCACAAGATCCACTTTGCTGCGGAGTTTAGCTCTAACCCTAATCAAACACACCTGAGCATGCTAATCAGTGTCTTCAGGATCATTAGTAAATCACAGGCAGGTGAGTTTGATCAGGGTTGAAGCTAAACTCTGCAGCACATTGGCCCTCCAGGGCAAGATTTGAGGAACCCTGATCGAGGGAGTATCACAGTCCAAATTCCTTAATACAGGTCATTTCATGTCACGATTTAACTTGTCTGAATTGAACCTTGACTTTGGGCTATCTGCTGCATGCATTCAGCAAGCAAGAATTAGCAGGGTTTTTCCCCAATAAATGTTTAAAATGTTTAATGCACATGATTCCATGCTGTGTATGTAAATAACTTGGAAAATATTTGTGTGTAGAATCATGAACACTTTCAAGTGAAGGCTATTTATTTAATCTATCATTTGTTAAGGTTGAATCATGCTGGTGACTGGTCATTTATAATACTTGAGTGTGGATATGAGTTTCAGAATGCATGTGTACAAAATAAAAAAAAAATAAAAAATGTAAATCCCCTTTGTCACTTTTCTGTGATTATAAAATATCAAACAATTGAGGTCAAAGGTCAAGTTTCACCACCTCCTGTGCTGTTACTCAGTCCTTTTCCAGCAGCATAAGCCCTTGCAATCAGAGTTTACACTTTGATGACATAACATCACATAGACTGTAAGGTAGAAGTCCGCAGTATAGTCCGTAAAAAATTTAAATCCCCTTTGTCACTTTTCTGCAGTCACAACAAGTGATTATAAAATATCAAATAATTGAGGTCAAAGGTCAAGTTTCACCACCTCCTGTGCTGTTACTCAGTCCTTTTCCAGCAGCATAAGCCCTTGCAATCAGAGTTTACACTTTAATGACATAACATCACATAGACTGTAAGGTAGAAGTCCGCAGTATAGTCCGCATCAATGCGGGCTCAGAAAACTTTCCATTGAGGGCGCATAGTTGTCATAAAGGGTCCATTTGACATCGTACATTTTCTACAAAATAAGACACCCTGTCTCTGCATCCAAATGCTTAGGCAGTTGACCTGTTGCCTCACTGACCTATCGGGCAATGACTTCGCAGGCAGCATTTGTGCACGTAGTTACCTCACAAAACGACAGGCTTCTAAGACAGCATAATTTTTTAATGATAATTTTTTTAGTGAGTAGAAAAATAGAGAGAGCTTTGGTGATAACTAATTGTATATTTATTTACGACAATACTAATTTCTTGCCATAAATGAAATCAGTAGTTCACAAAGTTCAAAAATATATACATTTACACAAACTAACCACCAAACGCAACTTTCAGACACCATTATATTTTTTTAGCTCCCCTGTCACAGAATCAAGCGCATAGAATAGTAATATCATAAGCAGTGAAGGATACATCTATGCTGCCTTCAAAGATCAAGCAAATGAAGTTAACTCAGTAGACAGGATGTGACACTATCATAGGATTCAGACCTTCCTTATTGCCTTCCTAGCTTAGTTTTCAGCTTACGGACGAAGCCCCTATGTTCCCGTGGACTTCATGGACACATGTATGTGGCAGTCATTGCAAGACCACCAGACCACCGTTTAGAACAGGGTCTTAGAATTACATTGATTTAGCATAAAGTCAAACACAGTGCCTGCCAGCGTCTTGTAATCAGCATAGGAGGAAATATCTGTCCTTTTTAATATTATAAAGGAGGCTGGTAAAGGAGAAACAAGTTCATCATTAAGTGGTTTCTGTAATGTACCTTCTGTTGTGCTGAGCCGCAGTATATCAAAAGCAAGTCAATCAGTAAGCGTACTCTGCGAGTGACTTACAGAGTGCTTTTGTCAATATAATATCATCAGAGGGCAGGTCAGGGACGATGATATGATGATGTCTTATGAGAAGCTAATGTTCTCTCTCATCCGATACAGCAGGATGAAGGATGGGATTACACTCACTTCATTAAAGTCTTCACACGGTCTGATAACCAGCTGTGATTTCCACCGTCAATTTGTTTTAACCTTTTCAAACATGAGGGGGGCATTTCATTTTAATCACAATTGATGAGATTGCAGGGAATCAAATAAGTCACATTGTTGTTACTGTTTCTTTCTCTCCGTATTTTGCTCTCTCCATGTCTGTCCTTCTTGCTCTCATTCTCCCTTCTTTTGCTCACAATATTGCAGCATTAATTTTTATTTCAGCCTGAGGTGAGTCTGCCTAGTCAAATTGTGGACAATCAGCTCAAGTAATCAGGTTTTATTTGCACAACACCAAACAAGAGTTAGCTGTTAGGGCTTTGGCTAGGCGGTCTGTGCTGGAATAGATGAGGGGGCTGATCGGTGGCTCGTCTGAAAAGGTCAGTGCCGACAGGCTACACTGCTAATTGACAGGTTGCAAAATAGCTGCAAATCACAGACCCTTCACCTCCATTGCCTGTGTAGACAATGTATACAGCAAATACTTTTCCCTTAGAAGGAGACAGCATACTGCATCTTTTCTTTTTCTTTCCTCTCCGTTAGACCTTAGCTATAATTTGCCTTGTCAAAATGTCAGAACAGGGCTTTAAATCACTGTTTTGTCGTTTTCATTTCTTTCTCTCTCTCTTTTTTTTAAATTTCGAGCCATCATTCATGCCCACAAAGCAGGAGTTCCTGGCCTTGGCAAGAAGCATCTTAAAGTTCCTCTTAGTGAGAGCACATATAAAACATGCTTTAGCCTTGCGCCAACCACTGGATGAATTCATGCTCATTTACTCAATCTATTCTCTCAGACAGGATAAGCAAAGCACAACATTCAGTTTCATGCATATCATCACCACACCTGTTCTTGTTTTTGTGTGACATGTAGTATGTTGTTCATAAAAAGATGATGTAATATAGTACCAAGTGCACTGATGTTAAGGCCTCGAGATTGTGTGACAAGGGCGTCAATAACTTATTCTTGCTAAGAAATTTCCATTATACTGTTTTGAATATATATACTACTGTTTAAAATAATAATTTTTTATGTTTTTGAAAAGTCTCTTATGCTCACCAAGGCTGTTTATTAGATCACAAATAGATTAAAAACAGTAATACTGTGATAATATTGCAATGTAAAATAAGAGTTTTCTATTTTAATATATTTTACAATGTAATTCATTCTTGTGACGGCAGAGCTGAATTTTCAGCATTTTCATTACTCCAGTCTTCAAGAAATATTTCTTACTATCTTAGTTGAAAACAGTTGTGCTGCTTAATATTTTTGTGAAAACCGTGATACAATTTTTCACAGTTCTTTGATGTATAGAAGTTCAGAAAAGCTGCATTTATTTGAAATTTATTAGAATTATATATTGTGTAATTTTACAAATTTAAACTGCATTACTAAATGAATCACAATGTGACAGGAATAATATTATTAATGATATAGTGAAAATTCAGTTCTAGTTCAGTTTTGATGTTGAGGAAATTGGATACAAGGAAGTTCTTCACTTGTGTAACCGTCATGACAGTTGTGACGCACAGATCAATTAATATTGATATTTAGTTAAATTGAAAGCTGTGTGCTGTTGGGTTTTGAAGGCAAGAGTAGTTTTATAGTAGTGAGTGTACTGTTCATTCTGCCCAAACCTATACAGTGGGGAAAAAAAGTATTTAGTCAGCCACCAATTGTGCAAGTTCTCCCACTTAAAAAGATGAGAGAGGCCTGTAATTTTCATCATAGGTATACCTCAACTATGAGAGACAAAATGAGAAAAAAAATCCAGAAAATCACATTGTAGGATTTTTAAAGAATTTATTTGCAAATTATGGTCGAAAATAAGTATTTGGTCAATAACAAAATTTCATCTCAATACTTTGTTATAATATACCCTTTGTTGTTTGTCTACAGTCTTAATAAAAATAAAAATAAAAATGTACTCATAACTTAACTGATACTCGGAAAAGCGGGTCTCAAAACAACTGTCCACAAGTCTGGCAACTCATTTAATTATAGATCTTTTACAACACAACTGTAGTGTGAACTAGAAATGTACGTCAACAATGGGATCAACATTGATCTCATGCTGATATACACAGAAGAGTGATGGTTTTATAGGTTAAAAAATTCTTTATTTTTTTATATTTTTAAAATCAAATGTCAAAAACTAATAATTAATGCAATGAATGTTTCTCCTTTGCTTTTGATCAAACATTTTCTCTCAGTGAATGTGAATATGTTTTTAATGTTCAAATGTATGCTTTGTAAAACACTGCAAAGCAGATTTATTGATCCAAGATTATATACAAACTACATGTAAATACAATCATTAGAAAACGTAAAGGGCCAAACTGATCCTAGCTCATCAGTCTTGTCCTGAATGACACACATGACCCCATATTCGAGATATTGATCAGCCACAGAACTGGAAACGGCATAATTAGGGGAATTCAAGAATACTAATGTCTTGACATCAAGGTCCTTATTTGGTGCAATAAGTGACATTTTACTGTGAGCCCTGGCACTGTCTGCATAAAAAAAAAAGAATATTTCTGAATTTTACCCTGAATACCAATGCTTACTCCTGTCAAATGTTGACTAATTGCAATATTGATGCAGAACATTGCAAATATCCTTCATGCTTCAAGGAAAGGTTGCTTTGCTCTAAAGGGGACCTTCTTTAGCATCACCCTTTCCCACATGTATGGCAACATCCTGAAATAGAAATTAGAGATTCCAGCTCTTTTGGGGGAAGAATGTGTGTTAAGGAACATATAAATCAGCCTCTAAAACCCTGCTCCTTACTTTTGTTATCTAATCTAAACCAGAATATGTACAAAACTGCACAAAAACAGGCCTGTAAAGGTTTCATAAAAGAAATGCTGGAGAGCTTTAAGGGGACATTCATTGACTTTAATGGGATGAACTGATTGCCTATATCTAATAGAAATTGTCGCCTTTGGCTAAAGCGGGTGTGGAATTAGATTACACGTGGAACACAATGCTTTTACTGCTTCTTAGAAAACAACTAATTGAATCTATGTAGAAGAAGAGAGAAGAAACAGGCATCTCAAGAGGGAATAAAAACAGACTTTAAAAATAAATTGTAGTAGTGATGGGAGATGGATCAAACATTTCCTTGTCTTTTTGACAAATTACAGGGTGTGAATTAAGAAGGGAATTTGGGGAGATTTGACCCTTCTAATTGTATAGGCGGGAAGTGAGCAGTGTATTTGAACATATTCTTAAAATCATGCACACCAAAATAAGATGATGATTCATATGACATAAATCTGTTTTAAATCGCCACATGGGGGCCCAACATTTGAGATCATATATGGCCAGATGATTAGGCCCACTACATACCTTTTCTTAGTAACTCCCAATGCAACACCTTTTTAAAATGTATTTAATTTCCACTGCACAATGTTTAATTGTTTTTCTATGTAAACATGCCTTTTAGAGAAGAGTTGTAACATTTAGTGGCTTCTTACACACTGGTGCCGTTGGAAGTAGTGGCACATCCAAAGACAGATCCAGTTATGAGAGGCATGTTGCACATGCTGCCGGATTTTGAGGCATTTCCAGATAGTAATATGACATTTCATATCGGCACTTTGAAGCTATTCAAAACTCGTTCGCTCTTTTGACTGACTTTGACCTTTTTTTGCTTTCTCACTGTTTATTTCCTGTTTATGTGCCTCTTGTGAACGAGCGCTGTGTGGCAACGCATTCTGTCTGAACCTAAGGCCAGTCTTATGTATATTATGTACAAATCACCAGCAAATAACAACAACAACAAAAATGTTCTGGTAAGAGCTCCTTAAGGGGCGTCATCCCAGCTATATGTTCTAAGAACGTTTTGCTAATGTTCCCATTAAGTTATGCAAACTTGATTGAATGATCTCTTAACATTCAAAAGCACTTTTTTCTCATTTATGCAAATATTAGGGAAAACATTAAGGGAACTTTCCATCTTATCTTTTTGCAAACATTACGAGAATGTTACTTTTAAATGTTCTCTGAACATTCTGAAAAAAGTAGTAGTCGAATATTCAACTAAAACGTTTCAGGAAGAAAAAAAAACTTTTATTTTGTGCTATCATTTTGAGAACATTATTAAAGACCATATAACTTTGAACAAACGTCCTATTATTCTATTCTGTTTGCTCAGAGATATTCTTAGCAGGAGTGTATTGGCTACTTAACATACTGAATTTACATTGCTTTACTAACAATTCAATAATATTATACTGCGCTTCATTACGAAACTATGTATGAAAAATTTTGGTGTTGAAAAGAATAGAAAAGAAAAGAAAAGAAAGGCATCCGTAAGATGCTTCATTTTTTAAGTCCAGCGGTGGCGCACCGCGTGTTTAAAGATGAGTGTGACATTCGGGGCGGAGAGGAAGCTTCAAAAAATATTAAGACGACAAGGATGATGATGACCATGTAGAAAATACCACGTGTGGAGAAACTGGATGTTGGTTTAAATGCTCACAATTTATAGCCTCCATCTGGAAGGGAGGGGAAAGTAAACTTCATGAGAAGCGGCACTCTCTCATTTTCTTGATCAAGCAGGAGGGACGGATCATGGAGGGACCCCCACTTGTTGACAAGTACAGAGTTATCTTTATATATAATTACAGACTCGAAAAGCAACACTTTATGCAGACATATACAGTTACTCCATGAAGTATGTTGCGTCCAACGGAAAATGCCGAGTGATGGTCACTGTAAAGTTTCCTTTTCCTCGTTAACCGTGACAGACCGCTTTCGCACATTCATTGTAAATCGTTTTGCGCGCTCGGTTGGTTAACAGTATGGTGCATGGAATGCTTTAATGTCTCACCGTAACAGTAAACTTTAATTTCTCCTCTCTTTCAGCTGATGAAAGCTGGGCGACAATCTACCTAACCGGGAGAGCAACTGCTGTAGCGTTTCCTATTCATCATCATCATCATCATCATCATCATCATCAACCTCAGCAGCAGCAGCATCATCAGCATCATCATCATCATCGTCAGTGCGAGCGGCACGCACCTCACTTGCTCCACATCCTCGGTGCCACGAGAGCGCCAGGGCGCAAAGATGAACATCCAAGTCCTGCCTGAGCACACCTCAGCAGCAGCAGCATCATCAGCATCATCATCATCATCGTCAGTGCGAGCCGCACGCACCTCACTTGCTCCACATCCTCGGTGCCACGAGAGCGCCAGGGCGCAAAGATGAACATCCAAGTCCTGCCTGAGCACAAACTGTCCTCGGTGGCCCCGCTGAAACAGTTTAACGTGGAGAAAAAGGAAGTTGAGCTGATCCTGGTGAAGGAGCAGAACGGGGTCCAGTACACGAACACCTCTGTCGTGGCCTCTCCGAGCTCCCGCGGCTGCACCTCCGGCTCCGGCTCCGGCTCCGGCTCCGCAGAGGATGAGGTCAGGGAGACCTGGGGCAAGAAAATTGACTTTCTGCTCTCTGTCATAGGCTTCGCTGTGGACCTGGCCAATGTGTGGAGGTTCCCCTACCTGTGTTACAAAAATGGAGGAGGTAAGATCGGTTCTTCCATTTATTCTGAGGGTCACCCTTTACACTGTTTTTGCATGACTAACTCTGATGAACAAAATGTGGGCTACTTGATATATAATTATTTGGGGGAGCAGCTTACAAACTTACAAACGTTGTTAGTGCCTTTGAAATTCATTTTATTTACATATACCTGGTGTAACATACACATTAGCCTATGTCTCAAACTATTACTAAAACACATTTCATAAATTCGTTGAGTTGAATCTATTATTTATTGCTGATGAGTGAAAGAATTTTTTTTATAAAAATTATAGTCTGTTAATTTGATAACTGTTATCTGAAGATATAAAGAAATATGTTTTGAAAGATTATACTTTTTTTTTTTTTTTTTCAGCTGTAAAAAGTATGAATTATAATTTACAGAGAATATTTTTCAATTATTTTTATGATATATTTAACAACGCAATACATATACTTTTCAATCAACATTATATAATTTAATGACACATACTGTACAGTTAGGAACTGTACAGTTTCTCAACAACCTGCCCGCACTCTGTGCTGTTGTCATTCATAAACCTGACGTCAATGTCAGTGAACTCATTAACTACCAGTGGGCTGTTGTTTAACAGTTTTGTTATCTTTTGTAATGTATGAGTAACAACATGTATTTTTCACTCTTTAGGCATGTAGCTCAGGTTTGAGACAGAAATGTGTTTATGACTGAAACAGACTAACATTTTTGTGGGGAAAAAATGCCTTAATTTAAGGCAGTGGCTATTTGCACTAAGTGAAAAAAGCATATTTTCTTAGCGATATATGCTATTTACACTAAGTGATAAAAGCATATTTTCTTAGCGATATATGCTATTTACACTAAGTGCAAATAGTGATGGACGTTTTCATGTTTGTGGGTGAAGTTAGTGTAAATAGCCTCTGCCGACAAGGCGGGCTATTTGCACTTAGTGTAAATATAGACACTCCGTTAAGTTAAATGTAGTAACATAAACCACTTTTTTCGTAAATGATACACTTTCCTTTTGTGTATCAATTATAATATTAAAACTATAGTATTAAAAATGCATGCGCAAAGACAAATATAACAGGGATCAGGTAGATTTCTGTTTTTTGAAAACATACTTAAGGTCATTGGGTCAGAAAGTTTCATGAGAAGGTAACATGTGACATTTTGGTTTCATTTGACTTTTCACCTCTATGTACAGGTTAAACCGTGAAGAATTTTCCATATCTGAATACATTATAATGCAAAGTCAGAGTTAAGAACTATGATTATGTCAAACTGCATCTAACTCCACTGTCGAATTGAATATTCACTATGTTAGCAGATACAGTGACAAATGCCTGTTGTTTAATGTGTCCCCCCAGGTGCCTTTTTGATCCCATATGTTCTGTTTCTGTTCATTGCTGGGATGCCCCTGTTTTACATGGAACTTGCCTTGGGTCAGTATAACAAAGAAGGAGCAGCTACAGTTTGGAAGATCTGCCCTATATTTAAAGGTATGCAGAAAATTAGTAGACATAAAAGATGCTGAGATGAAATGTACCAGTTCACACATTTAATTAATTCACTGCCCATTTTGGATGTTTCATTTTTATACTGACCCAACAAACACAAAAAAGGTTAACTTAATGGTCCAACAAAAGCCAACAAATGTGTTCGTTGGGGCAGTGAACTAGGTTATACAGTGACTCTGTTGTGACTTTGAAGTTAGTGCACACTTCTAACTTCATATATTGAAGCAAAGAGAGGCCTGAAACAGATAAAGCAAAACTTTTTCACATATAATAACAACATATTTGTGACTTTCCTCCTCAGGCGTTGGCTACACTGTGATCATCATAGCTTTGTATGTGGGCTTTTACTACAATGTCATCATAGCTTGGTCATTGTATTACTTATTTTCCTCATTGACGAGTGAGCTGCCCTGGCACAAGTGTAATAACCCGTGGAACAGCCCCAATTGCACAGAACCACAACACATCAATGGCACCTTCTTGGGTAACAGAACCTCCTATGCCAAGTACAAGAACACACCGGCTGCAGAGTTCTACGAGTGAGTCTTACATTTATTTTTATTACTGGTTTTTGCTCTGTGGTTTTGCAGTTCTACTTGAGTTGTTGTATATTATTCTAACAGTAGTATCATGAAAATGTCTGGAAATGCAAAGTCTGATGCAATATTAGTGTCAATGAAAAGAATTCAGGCAGACAGTTGACAGGCTTTCTATTTAATCGACTGCAGTCCGCTTTGAGATTTGCTTAAAAGTGTGAATATCCTGTTTATTAAACAAGCGCTTTTACTGTATTTTGTCTTATAGGTGTTCCAAACACATTAACATTTCCACTTACAAAATCAGTTATGAATGATACAGCTGCTTTACTAGACAGGTGTTTCCTTATGCTTCACAATGTCGGTGATGTTTTTCGACATTGTTCCAGTTTGTCATGTTGTACCAATTGCTTGTTGCTCCCTATGGAGTCTTGCTGATATGGCGCCTAATGGAGCTTTGATTCAGCTATCGCTGTTCGGGATTTGTTTTCAGAGACGTGTTTAGAGTTTTGGGGGCCCTAAGCAAGCATTCCCAGTGGGGGCCCCCTTGGTAGAAATCGCGTTTTACCACATTTTATAGTTATTTCTGCTTAGAAGTTCGAGGGAAAAAAAAGTAAGTGTTTTCCTAACTGAGGATACAGCCCAGCTGAGATCTTTGAAATTTGTACTCACCCTCATTTCATTCCAAACCTGTATTACTTACTTTCTACTGTGGAACATAATATATTCTGAGTGATTGTATTTATAGTTTTATTATTTTTTTAAATGGTCTGTGGTCACCAAACTCTTCAAGGTTCTGTTTAAAATACCTTCTTTTGTGTTCCACAGAGGTAAGTAAAGTATATTTGGAACAACGTGAGATTGAGTAAATATTGTATTGAAACCAGTTGCTACTCTGAGGTAGAACACAATCAAAATTATTGGCTAATCAGATGTGAACAATTTTGCTTAAAAGTGCTCAAAATTAGGTCAGAATCACTGAAACATGTATGCGGCACTCAAAACTCTTGATGTACACTGAAAGAAAGGCAGCCGCTTGCACTTCAAAGAAAAGCAGTCCTTTTCCGTGTCTAAGGGAAAATTTGGCTCCTCGTGTCAGGGGAAACCAGAAGAATGTGTGGAACAATGAAGAACCTACAGCACTTGCTGATTTGTTTGTAACCAGTTATGGACAAAATCATAGAGACACGTCATCAGATTCAAGTGAGGGTTTCCGTGTCTTTATTCCTTAAATGTATTGCTCAGGTCTTATGCATGTTTGTATATTATGAAATATCTTAAAGAGTCTAACATCACTGTGGAATGTGGATGTGCATCCATATGTCTATCTCGTATATATACATACAATATATGATTTTAATTCATCCAACCCTCGACCCCTTTTCCTGTCTTTCTTCGTGATCTACCGCTTTTTGTACTCTCTGCTTGTCTTGTTCTCACTGTCTGTTTAGCTGTTTCTCTCACTTTCTTCCTCTCCTATGCTCTTACCCTCTTTTGGACTAGTTTCCTACCCAGCAATGCTTTGAAGTGTCATTTCCCCAGCTGTCTTCTGTGTGTGAGGGGATGTGGAAAGCTGTCATTTCCTCCGCTTTTCCCCCCTCATGCCGCTCTATTATAATAGTTTTCGGCCACCAGTAATCCTGCCATCATGGGACAGCACACAGGGCACTAGAGAATATTCATTACTGTCACACATACAGCAGACTCACATGCTCAGCAGGTGTGCCATACACTGAATATTAGATTAAGCAGTATGTTGCTCAGAATAGCTAAAATGCTGGGGAGAGCTAGAAACCAATCACAGAAAGTGGTGTTGAACCAGCAGCTGTCAGTCCAGAAGCCCCTGATAAAAACCCAGTCAAGTTCATTGGTCTTACACAAACCCGTCATGGCACACATCTTTCTAAAACAACCGACAACCAGACAAAAGCAAAATATGACAAGCTCAACAAAGCAAATTTCATCAGCTTGTGTGCCACCCACATATCCTTTGACTACGCTGTCTCTGCCAGTCTTGACATGTTTGAGTCAATCACTGTTTGTTGAGACTAATGAACCGTTACTGCTCCGTTGTATTGTTTTACACAGCAGGTATCCTAAATCTAATTATTCCGTCATTACTGAAATATTGTTACATCACACGCAGTCTCAGATTTAACAACAGACTGATGTCATGAAGACAGAAATAGTGGATTTATAGGAAAAAATATAATCATTTGAAAAGCCAAGACAAAGATCTTGACCATACTTATTGTGCTTTCAAATAATAATCATTAAAAGTAATTAAAATAATAAATCAAACAAGCATAATAATTAACCCTTAGAATATTGGTTCATTGTTGCGTGCTTGTTTTATTTGAATTTTTTTTATATATCTTGATTTATTAAAAGTGCAAAATGGTTGTGTTTTAGTAAATACTTTTTAAAAATGTGATATGAAGGTTATAAGTGTTACAAATGCTATTTATTTGCTGTGCTTGTTTGTTTTTAATAATTACAAAAATAAAAGGAAGGAAATTAATATTAAAAATATAAACAGGGCTGAACTCGTGTCAGCCAGAGGGGTCCATAACCACAACGAATGTGTGGTTTCACAAACACATTTTAGGAAGTTCTGGTGCCTGTTATGAAAACAAATATAATTTGCTCCAGAGTTAAGCAAGCTGTGATGAGACCCCAAATGCCATCAGAGTTCTCTTCTGTGGCCGTTGTCTGGCTCAGAGTACAGCTGAGGATATGGTGAAATCATAGGTGTTTGGATTTAGCTTGGCAAGGAAAAGACATCAGATGAATGAAGAGCTCTAGAGGGAATGCTTGCCAAGATCCTTGCCAATCAAATGTAATTATTCAATTAGAGGAGGCTGTGCTCACATCTGTCCTGACCTAACTGCTGTCACTGAGACTGAGCTCAAGCTCAAGATCTGCCCCTCAGAATGAAAAGAGTGGTTATGTCTGGTTTTGAAGTTAGGAGGATTGTCCAGGAGTGTTTGTGTTTCTATTTGTTTGTTTTTGGACTATATATTTCCGCAGTTACTTTTGTCATGGTATAACACAATGACCAATTTTGTGGTTGGAAAATAACTAAGCATGGGATCCGTTAAAGGAATAGTTTACCCAGAAATTTAAATTTACTCAACTTAAGGCCATTCAAGTTGTAGATGAGTTTGTTTCTTTATTTGAACAGATTTGGATAAATTTAGCATTACATCACTTGCTCACCAATGGGTCATCTGCAGTGAATGGGTGCCATCAGACTGAGAGTCAAACAGCTGATAAAAACATTACAATAATATAAATTAACATATTTTGAAACAAAAAGCAGTGTGTTTGTAAGAAACAAATCCATCATTAAGATGGATGAGTCCGCTATATTGTTTTCTTTTATTGTGTCATCTGAATCAGGACAGAATTATGCACAGATCAAGCCCTGTTTATAAGCGAATACAATCCAAAACAGTTCTAAAGTATTTTGGTGGATTTTAATCATCTGTTTGAACTCTCGTTCTGATGGCACCCATTCTCTGCAGTGGATCCATTGAGCAAGTGATGCTAAATTTCTCCAAATCTGTTCTTATGAAGAAACAAACTCATCTATGTCTTGGATGGCCTGAGGGTGAGTACATTTTCAGAAAATGTCAATTTTGGGGTGAATTGTTCCTTTACAAGGCATAATGAAAATGCACGTGAAAGTCCAACGTCAAAGAATAACCAAAAAGTGCCCATAGAAGTCATTCCTGATTCAGCCTTATGAATGTTTTTTTTTTTTTTTGCTTGCGCTTGTTGAATAGTGCGTTATATACAGTAGGCTGATGCATTGTATAGTCACGTTGAAGGTTTTATTATAAGCAGTAGTCTACTGCACTAGTCAAGTCATGTCTGTTTTAAAAAAAAATTCTGAAAGCGGTTTTATGTAGAATAGTTCCTGGTGGGCAAGGCAAAAGATGACTTGGAAACACCCTAATGCACTGTTGTTGTCTTCAACCTGTAGAACATGTAGTCCTGTTTGTCATTTGTTTTTTGGATATACAGTATCTTTTACAGTGTTTTTTTATTCAAATGTATTGATTAAAATCTGAGTACTGTTAGACTTGCTGCCTGCACTTTTGCTTTATAACAACACACATATGTAATTCTTAAAGATCTCATCAAAACTTTATTTACTAAAGGATTTGTGAAAAAGTCCTTCCAGTTAATGAATAATCAAATGTGAGTGAGCTATTTGTAAAATAATTTATTGTCATGACAGCCTGATACAAACCAAGATATTTGTATAGACTGTAGGTATGTTAAAGGGCCAGGGGTCGACTGAAATGTCACAGAGAGTGGATTAAAGTCAAGCTTTAGCAGGACAGGCGGGTTGACAGGCCCCAGCGTGATGTTATTGGCAATGGTGACCGGATTGGACTGTCTCCCGTCTCTTGAGCCCTAAGGGTTTGTCTGGCTTTCCTTCTCTTCATTAACTCAGCCATGATGGCTTCAACATCCATGTTTCTGTAGACGTCACACTCACGTTTATTTCCTTATTCCCAGTGCATGACCAAATTACTTGTTTGATGAGCAAGTTGAGCAGTTCTCAAGGTCTCTCCAGCTTTAAAGTTTTCCTTTTTAAATGCAAAACCAAACCTGTGTATCTGATCCAGATTTAATTATTTACTGATGTCAACAGCAATTAATTATCACACATATGGGATATTAATCAGTTGGGCTGATCAGAATTTGAAATAGAAATCATGTGGGAATGACACTTATAGTCACTTGACAGCTGACTTAAGGTTAATATTATGGGTCTTTAATATTGTTTTTAAAGTAAATAGGCATGGATAAAGTCTGCTTTAATTCACATCATGGCTTCTAAACTCAAAGCATGTTCAAACAGAGCGGCATTCGTTCTCCTTTACAAGACATCTGATCCAGATTTAATTATTTACTGATGTCAACAGCAATGAATTATCACACATATGGGATATTAATCAGTTGGGCTGATCAGAATTTGAAATAGAAATCATGTGGGAATGACACTTATAGTCACTTGACAGCTGACTTAAGGTTAATATTATGGGTCTTTAACATTGTTTTTAAAGTAAATAGGCATGGATAAAGTCTGCTTTAATTCACATCATGGCTTCTAAACTCAAAGCATGTTCAAACAGAGCGGCATTCGTTCTCCTTTACAAGATAACGTCTTTCAGAAGGAAAGATGACAGCAATGTTCTGGCAGTGCTATAGGGGTTTGTTTATAATATAAGAACAATGGCCTGTACTGTTTCTCCTCTTTAAACCTCACTGGGAGGTGCAGCACAGGAATCATTTAGATCACATTCTACAGAGACTCTTTTCACTGGGTGTATCCAGATATTTTGCAAGAAACCAGCAATAATATTCATCATTGGATGGTTGAGAAACCTTTGGTCTTAACCATTATTCAACCTTGTTAGATGTTAGAAACATAGGTCATCCCTCTTGGGAGGCAAGATCCTGAGGGGAAACGGGTTTTATGGGTAATTTACGATCTGGCAAATCTTTTGAAGCAATTGACTCAGCAGAGTGTGTGACACATACAGTATTGAGATTGTGTGTTTGTACTGGTTTGGCTCTACTAGTTGTAATGGTTCTGGGTCTGTGTGTTTTTGTTATGTGGACTGTTCGTTTGTAGTTGTACCTGGTTTCCTGTTTCCTCTTGTTTTTCCATGATTGTTCTTACCTGTTCCCATATCCAATTAGGCTTTATGCTGTAAGCCCTTGTGTTTCCAGTGTATTTGTCAGATCTTGTCCTTACACAGTTGTCTTGTTTGATGATCTTATTCTGTTTTCTTGTTTCTGTGTTCTTTGTACTTTTGTTATTATATCTTTACAGACAATACTTTTGAATCCAGTGCTCACTAGTTTCTGAGTTCCCATTGTTACACTAGTTAAAGCCAAATGCTTTTCTTCAAATCTATTTAAGTTTCTCTGAAGATTAGGTTAGAGTTAATATATAATAAACATCAGTTCAGAGTGGACAGTCTAGTGGAAACAACCGTAAAATGAGAGTGAGCCTAAGCCTAACATATAAAGCACATGAAAGGGTGTAAGAATGTGCTACAAAAACAAGATACTGTACAGTTCCCTAAATTATCTGTAGTTGTAGATTCTTTATAGGATCTTAAGTTATCAGGGCAAGGCTTTATAATACTTTGACTTGAGAGAACATCAATTTTATTTTGATACATAACCCCTTTTCTAAGTATTTTAAGAGCAGTGACGTCAAGTGGCAAGGCAACTCCTACATACTCCCTAGAGTCTGACTAATTTCAGTGGTTTGTAACTCAGTGAGGCCCCCCACACCTCTGCATAGAGGGCGTCCCTTGCGCCAGTGGACCTGTACAGCATATATTTATTCAAAAAAGTTTTTGTGTGCAGATGAATATTTTTACACTATGCTATTGGAGCATGACTAAGAATAGAGAACATTATAATAATGGATGTTTTATTTGATTAATTGATAAGTGTTCCATAATTTAATGAGGAAAACACTCCAAAGAATCTATAGAACAAGTAGGACTGTGGCCCAGGACACTTACTTTACTACTGGAGAGCCTTTGAACAAGGCACACAACACAACATTTCTCAAAAAATGTTTTCTATTCAGACAGTGGGACTATGAACAAAATGCATTGAAGTAGTTGTTTAATCTCACTTACCATTTCTCCTCCTCCAGGCGCGAAGTGCTGCACATTCATGAGAGTAAAGGCATCAATGACCTGGGTCTTCCTCGCTGGGAGCTCGCCCTCTGCCTTATTTTGGTGAAGATTAGGTTAGAGTTAATATATAATAAACATCAGTTCAGAGTGGACAGTCTAGTGGAAACAACCGTAAAATGAGAGTGAGCCTAAGCCTAACATATAAAGCACATGAAAGGGTGTAAGAATGTGCTACAAAAACAAGATACTGTACAGTTCCCTAGACAGAGTTGGAGTGGACTAAATTCTCTGTAGCTGTAGATTCTTTATAGGATCTTAAGTTATCAGGGCAAGGCTTTATAATACTTTGACTTGAGAGAACATCAATTTTATTTTGATACATAACCCCTTTTCTAAGTATTTTAAGAGCAGTGACGTCAAGTGGCAAGGCAACTCCTACATACTCCCTAGAGTCTGACTAATTTCAGTGGTTTGTAACTCAGTGAGGCCCCCCACACCTCTGCATAGAGGGCGTCCCTTGCGCCAGTGGACCTGTACAGCATATATTTATTCAAAAAAGTTTTTGTGTGCAGATGAATATTTTTACACTATGCTATTGGAGCATGACTAAGAATAGAGAACATTATAATAATGGATGTTTTATTTGATTAATTGATAAGTGTTCCATAATTTAATGAGGAAAACACTCCAAAGAATCTATAGAACAAGTAGGACTGTGGCCCAGGACACTTACTTTACTACTGGAGAGCCTTTGAACAAGGCACACAACACAACATTTCTCAAAAAATGTTTTCTATTCAGACAGTGGGACTATGAACAAAATGCATTGAAGTAGTTGTTTAATCTCACTTACCATTTCTCCTCCTCCAGGCGCGAAGTGCTGCACATTCATGAGAGTAAAGGCATCAATGACCTGGGTCTTCCTCGCTGGGAGCTCGCCCTCTGCCTTATTTTGGTCGTCTTCATCCTCTTCTTCAGCCTGTGGAAGGGAGTCAAATCCTCTGGAAAGGTGCAAAACTCCAGCTAAAATCTCAAATGATAGTTATGCAGTGTAGCTATTTGTTTTTGGTCATTCTGTCTATGATTAATCTAATGTTCATATATACACATTTTATTTTTGTTTTTTTAATAGTATTTTCAATTTATATAGCATTTGTCATTAAAAAGCAATCTCAAGGCACTGGACAAAAATGAACGGCTCTTTATTTGTGTGTGGGTGTGAGTGTGTGTTCAGGTGGTGTATGTTACAGCTACTATGCCCTACATAGTGCTGTTTGTGTTGCTGATTCGAGGCATCACTCTCCCTGGTGCAATGAATGGAATTAGGGCATATCTCCACATTGACCTAAAGAAGCTCAATGATCCTCAAGTAAGTTCATGCTAATAGGGCTCGACCTATTTTATGAACTAATTCCAGATATATACTGTATATCTTGGATCTTTAAAAAAGTAGTCATACTTCATACATAGTCATACATACTTCTTTTTTTATAGATGGATTGTCACTCATTTTTGTTTGTTGCAGGTATGGATTGACGCAGCTACTCAGATTTTCTTTTCTCTAGGAGCCGGGTTTGGAGTCCTCATTGCCTTTGCAAGCTACAATAAATTTGACAATAACTGCTACAGGTATGACAAATCTCTGATAAGGTTGTACGTTTTCTAAAGGCCTATTCACACTGCACTGACAGACACAGACAAATGGCAACAGAAATGTTCGTCAGGTTTTGTTGGATTCTACATGTTCAATCAGCAAAATCAAGCGCTAACCAATGCCAACAGATGTTTTGTTGTGCGTTACATCTGTTGGCATTAGTCGGCGCTTGATTTCGCCGATTGAACTTCTGAGAAGTGACATATTGTAATCAGTTGATCGTAAGCGTTGGTCTGCGTCTATCTGTGCAGTGTGAATTGGCCTTAATAATAACATCTCTTCAGAATTATATGATGGAACGATTCTTACTACAAACAGGTTCCAATGTGAGCAATATCTTACTTGAAGACTTAAAATGATTTTTTTGCCTGATCTATTAGCCCATAGCCATTCCAGTTTGCTAATACTGTGAAGCTGTGGCTTTGCGTTCTCATGAGAAAACCAACATGTTGTTTCCAGAGATCAAAAGTTAGAAAAGGTTGTTAGTGGGGCCAGCAGGTGGCAGTCACCTTGTGGGCATTGTGGATCCCAAATAGTCAAAATGACAGTCTGTAAAGTTTCTCAGGTTATAGTACAATATTCCTGTCAGCTAGTGTCTCTGTAGATTGAGATGTTTCAACACTCATTCAGTTGTGCACTGAGCATTTAACCTCATCATACTTAATTAATGAGTAATTGCAGAGGTGGAAATTACATATTTGAAGTGGATGAGGTGATTCCTTTCATGTATGAAGTGTTTTGAAGGTATAAAGAGGCAAAAGACAGTCTGATTCATTTATTCACTTAAAAGTCAATGCCCACTTTGGTTGGCTTGTGTAAAATTACAGTCGATTAATATTCAAACGTTTGCAATTTTCTTTTGATGCCTTGTTAATGTACACATCTAAAGCATGTTAATGACTTACAGTAAGCACTGTTGATTTCACATCGCAATATGTTGACGTCTAAAGCTGGAACCCTATTGATCCAACAGGTTTTTGCTCTCCAGGGCACAGATGTCTTACTAAGACCTCAAATCTACAGTCATGTCAAAATATTTGCTTTTGTTTCTAACAGAAAATAAAGAAAACCAATGAAAAAGTCAGTTTGAAATATTCATGTTCACATTATTTAAATTTAAATGTAATTTAAGTTACAGCAGCATTTTTCACCTCTTCAGCTTTTGGCCACCATGACGATATGTTGCAAGCAGATGGCTGCTCAGATTTAAGCACTTCTTCACAGACTACACTGAATGGTTCCACCCTAGGACACACTTTGAAATGATCAAAATCATGAATTATTGTATTCTTTCTTCTTGTATGTACTTTTTGTATCAATTGTTTGGTTATTAATTAGGCTTTTGTAATGTCTAGTCATTGCAACTGATAAACATTATGAGAACAAGGGAACAAGCTTTCAAAAAACAATGCTAAACTTCAACTTTACAGTGCACTGTTCCTCTGCACAGGAACTGTCTAAATGAGAACTCAAAGCATAGCCACAGTGGGGATAAGTCACAGCTTTGGCATCAACTCACTGTGGGTTTAAAGTGTTCATGTCATAGATTCTCCTCAGCAGTTTTGAGACTTCTGGTGTAATGTAAACTTTTATCTTGTGCTTTGCTGCAGGGATGCTATTCTGACCAGCACTATAAACTGCATTACCAGTTTCTTCTCAGGGTTTGCCATCTTCTCAGTACTGGGGTATATGGCTCATCAGCATCAGGTCAACATAAAGGATGTGGCCACTGAGGGTCTGTGACTCCTACAACCTCACTGTCCTGTTTTTATTTTACTCTTTGTGTATCACTCAACCTTTTCATGTTTCTCAGTTCTACATTGTGCACCATTCTTTCTTCTTACAGTGGTTAACCAAAGTGTGACCCGTGACAAACGTTATTTTTCTGGAGTTGTACAGTGTCCCTTTGCTGATCTGTGAGGTGATTGTTTATATCTGTGTGCAGGAGCTGGACTGGTATTTATTATCTACCCAGAAGCTATCTCAACTCTACCTGGATCCACATTCTTTGCGATAGTGTTTTTCATTATGCTTCTGACTCTTGGAATTGACAGTTCTGTGAGTACAAATTAATCTTGTTATTTCTCACATAAAATTTAATAGACAAAAAAACAATGCAATTACTAATAATTGATACTTCAACAAAAATACTATGGTTCTAAAACATTTCCGTTGATTTAATGCAATGTCCTGTTTAGATGGGTGGCATGGAGGCAGTGATCACTGGGCTGTCAGATGACTTTAAATTCCTGAAGAGGCATAGAAAATTATTTACATTTACTGTAGTATTTGGGACATTCCTAATAGCCCTTCTGTGCATCACAAATGTAAGTTTGTTGGATCTGTTTTTTAGCAGTGTGACAATATGAAAATACTCTTGTTTATATTTATTTTCTTGTCATATTATAAATATCAAATTACTAAAATCTATATAATATCCCTATTTAATTTGCTTTTGAGATGGATTGTATTGTACAGTATATTTAGCTGTTTTACTGTATAATATGTATTCAGCATCAGTGGTGTGATCCATGTGCATGTGATCGCATCAGTTGAAACTACACTGTGGAGCATTTCAACATTTATTGGCTTACAGTCAAAAACCGCACTTTGCAGATCAAATGTGTGTTTTGTGAATATTATTATTTTTTTGATTACTTCTACCATGAACATGAACAAATTAACATACAAGCAATAAAATGGTGAATTAATCAATAGAAGTCCTTTATTCAGCAGTATTTTGTCTTTGTCATATCTCGGTTATGACAGGGAGGGATCTTTGTGTTGACCCTGTTGGACGCGTATGCTGCAGGAACGTCCATTCTATTTGGGGTGCTGATTGAGGCCATTGGAGTATCTTGGTTCTATGGTGAGCAGATATAAAACAACATACATTCGTCTTTAAAGATAATTTCCACTCCTGACTCGCTACTGACTGAAATTCTTGCTTCTACAAGTAAAATCAATGTTTTCTGCAATCTGTAACAGGTTTAGTACATTTCGTATTATCCAAATAAGCTTTGCAGATCTTATTTGGAAAGGGTTTAAACAATGTTTTTCATGCTTGTTTAATGGACCATAAACAATTATTCCATATGCACCTGTGGAACAGTCCTTAAGACACTAGCAGTTTATAGGCGTAAGGCAATGTAGGGCACATTCACAATTACTTAGGTCCTAAGTAGAAAGGTCTCAGTAAGTCTTAGGACAGTAAAGAGACCTTTTTTACTGATTTAAACACACCAGAAGAAGATGCCCAGGGTTCCTGCTCATCTGCATGAACATGCCATAGTCCTGCTTCAGGGAGGCATGAGGACTGCAGTACAAATGTTGCCGGAGCAATAAACTGCAATGCCCACAATGTAAGATGCATAAAAGAGTGCTACAGGGAGACAGGAAGGACAGCTGATCGAGATGAGATGCACTTTAGAATTTAAAGCAGCTGGTGACCACACCAGATACTCACTGCGACTTTTGGTATTGATATATACATACATATATTTATATATGCACTACTTGAACAAAAGTATTGGGACACACCTTTTTAATTAATCAATAATTGTTTCAGACCCATTGCCACAACTGTATAAAATCAAGCACTTCCAGAGCTGGTGAGTTCCACTGGCTTTGACATCAGCACAAAATCGATGCAACTGGAGCTTCAAGGGATGTGTTGTGGAAGCTTCACGTCACCAAGTACAATGCCAAGTTTAAACACCGCCACTGGACTCTGAAGCAGTGGAAACATGTTCTCATGAGTGAATCACACTTCTCTGTTTGGTGGTCTGATGGGCGAGTCTGGGTTTGGCGGATGTCAGGAGAAAGTTACCTGCCTGACTGCATTGTGCCAACTATAAAGTTTGGTGGAGAAGGTATAATGGTATGGGGCTGTTCTTCAGGGGTTGGGCTAGGCCCCTTACTTCCAGTGAAGAGAAATCTTAATGCTTCAGCATACCAAGACATTTTGGGTAATGCTATGCTTCCAACATTGTGGAACAAGTTTGGGGAAGAACCTTTTCTATTCAAGCATGATTTTGCCCCAGTACACAAAGCAAGGTCCATAAAGACATTGTTGGATGAGTTTGGTGTGGAAAAATTTGACTGGCCCACACATTTGTAGCCCTGACTTCAACCCTATCGAACACCTTTGGAACAGAGATTGTGAGCCAGGCCTTCTCATCCAACATCAGTGCCTAATTTCACAAATGCTCTACTGGATGAATGGGCACAAATTCCCACAGAAACACTACAAATTCTTGTGGAAAGACTTCCCAGAAGAGTAGAAGCTGCAAAGGGGGACCCACTCCAAATTGCAATTTCATAGAAGTCCCTGTTGGTTTAATAGTCAGGTGTCCCAATACTTTTGTTCATATAGTGTGTACTGTTTCCTGCATACACAGCTACTTTTGAATGGTTGTCAGTGGAGCTAATGCATCTTCCAGCAGGACTGAGAAACACTGCTTTTTAACTGGTCTGTAACTCAGCCTCAACACACTAATGCATTACAGTGTGAGTAAGATCAGAGCTATGAACCCAAGGACAATAAAAGTCTGAAGATTGACCAAAAAAATTATACATTTATCTTAACTTTATATTTTTGTAATTACTCCAAAGCATATGCAGTTCTAGATACTGCAAGACATCTCATGTAAAGAGAGGGAGGTCATTTATTATGGTCCATGGCTACTTCATGAATATGAAGTATCCCTGCCTCGCCCAAAGAGCAAGCATAAACAAATAGTTTAAAGCCTCAGGACTATCAAGATTATCAGTGCTACATTCCGTTACATCACTTCCTAAGATCCAAAATTTCTCATTTCTACTTTACATTGTATTACATAACTTTTGAATAAAGTGTTGTCTAAGAGTACAATACACAGTGTTCAGATCATCATTAATATTGTTATAAGAGATGCCTCAATTCAGAAAAAGGTCTCGGGTATTTTTATCTTGAAATGATGTCCAGATGCTGCTAATTTCTTTGTGTGTTTGTACCATAGGTGTGGACAGATTTAGTGAGGACATTGAACGCATGATGGGCTTCAAACCAGGTATCTACTGGAGGCTCTGCTGGAAGTTCGTCAGTCCAGCATTCTTACTTGTGAGTTAAACAGGGGTGTATGAGCATAACACCTGATGCAATTTGACCCTTAAGGAAATGATGTCCTTTATCTGTCCCCTGTTAGATTACAGTTTTAAATCTGTTTAGTCAGTTAACCTAAAACTTTACTCACTTGTACTTGGAATACAGCTGATACAATTGAATAGTTTCAACCAGTAAAAATAACTTGCTTTATTTTCTTATGCTGACAAAACTGGTTTCTTTGTACAGAATAGTTAATCACTCCTTATTGTTTCTGTAGTTCCTGACTTCTATTTCTGTGCAGGTTGTGGTCATTGCCAGCATTGTTACCTCTGGCGACCTGAGATATGATAACTATATTTTCCCTCGCTGGTCAAATATGGTGGGCTGGTCCATAGCCTTGTCCTCCATGCTGTTTGTACCAATCTACGCCATCTACAAACTCCTTATTATACCAGGCACCTTCAAGGAGGTTAGTAAAGACGTTTCACTTATCTAAATGAGGACTTTTTACATACTGCAAGTTATAAATACTATAAATTTGTCCCCAAAATATGGTTTAATGCTATGGGTACACACACACACACACACACACACACACACACATTGGCAAGTGACATATTTATAGTTGAATACTGAAAAAGACAGAAGAAAAAATATATACACTCATTTTAAGACTCCCTGTTTCATATATAGTTCTTAGGTCCAGTTTTTAAATATTCACTCCAGCAGAGTGGCCTTGTAGCAAAGCCTCCAGCAGATTCCTTGTTTCAATCTCATCGTACGTTGAATGCCCTCAATAAATCTGTCCATGGCTTAAATCTGCTTCATGACTTTGTGTGGTCCTAAAACTGAGAGATGTTTTTATTTCTAAATGCGTCAATTCCCAAAACCACAAACATGCTACTGACATCTGGCTCAGTGCTTACATACTCACATTTTCCACAAGCAGCATGCTATCTTAAATGGCTTCAGAAATCATCTAACATATGCAGAATAAAACGCCACATTGCCATCTGTTTTTGAGGCGATAATTAAGTTGTTTAAATTTATGGTTCATTATTGCTGTGTGTTTATTTCTGCTAGTCCAATTTTTGTTTTTAATGTCCTCCATTGCAGAGGATAGCGTACGCCATTACTCCAGAACATGAACATCACCTGGTGACAGAGGGTAATGTCAGGCAGTTCAAGGTAAGACAATGCTAAAGGTAGTTTAACAGCATTTATTTTAAGAGAATTGCATGTCACAGAGAAAAATCCTGACGTTTTTTCTATTGTACATTTTGTCTTGTTTTCCCAGCTCAGACATTGGTTGTCCATTTGATGGGGGGGGTCAGGTGGGAGTGCCATCAAATGCTACTGCATGAGAGAGAGAAGTGGCACCTGAGAAAAGGACAAAATGAAGTGATGGCTTTGCGCGTTTCCCAACCACACACTGTACTGTCCAGTCTGCTCCATTTGTGTTCAGTGGTTGACTAGACTTTTTTTTACAGTGGGTACAGAAAAGAATCACCCCTCCCTCCCTCCCTTCTAAAATAATCACATTTTGCTTTTATGCAGCTGTATTGACTACATCTGAGTGCAACATCTAACATCCAAGTGAAAGATATAACACCAACATGACAGAAAAAGTAGCTAATCACCTTTTCAATGGTACACAAAGCCTTTCAGCTGTGATCAGCTGTGGTCTTTTTGATTAGCTCAGCATGAAAAAAGCTTTCCTGGAGCATTTCAGTCCTTGGTAGTGCAACTGAAGCAAATAATCAGCTATGGGTGGCAAGGCACTGTCAAAAAATCTCCAGGATAAAGTTGTGGACAGGCACAAGTCAGGAGATGGATACAAAAACATTTCAAAGGCTTTATCAATGCTTAGAAGCACAGTGACGTCTATTATTAAGAAGTGGAAGGTATTTGGTACAACACAGACCCTCCCTGGATCAGGACATTGCTCCAAACTGGATGAAAGAGTCAGAGGAAAAGCCTCCAGATTTTGAGGCAGAAGAGACTAAAATTTAATTATTTGGCCTCAACACCAAATTATATATCTGGCAGAAATCCAATACAGCTCGTCATCCAAATAACAGCATTCCTACAGTAAAGCATGGAGGTGGTAATATCCTGTTATGAGGGTGTTTCTCTGCAGCAGGGACTGCAGCACTTGTCAGGATAGAAGGAAAATAGATGGGGCAAAATATCAACAAATTCTTGAGGAAAATCTTCTGCCCTCTGCCAGAAAGTTGTCAATGGGAAGAAGGTTTACCTCCAACATGACAATTATCCCAACAGACTAAAGGCTGTAATTAAAGTAAAAGGGGGTTCAACTAAATACTGTTTAAAATACTGTTTGCTTCAGTTGCACTACCAAGGACTGAAATGCTCCAGGAAAGCTCTTTTCATGCTGAGCTAATAAAAATGACCACAGCTTATCATAGTTGAAAGGCTTTGTGTGCTAATTGTGTGATTAGCTACACCTGATTGAGTTTACAAGTCATTTTAGGAGAGGGGTGATCTGGTTTCCAACTCAGTGATTCTGGTTATTTATTTTTTCTGACATGTTGGTGTTATATCTTTCACTTGGATGTTAAAGTTGCACTGAGTACATTTAGCTAGATAAAACAAAGATGGTGTTCCATCTTCCATCTTCATTTCAGGCTGGAAAGCAACAAAATGTGATTATTTTAAAGGGGGTGATTATGTTCTATTCCCACTGTATAATGTAGGGCAAACTAAATATTGTGCCTGTACTTCTTTTTAAATCATACACTTTTTAGGCCAAACTCTCAAAAGACCTCAAAATACTTACGTTTTGTGGTAAAACAGGTATTTTCCACTTTTAAGATGTTTTACTTTTTTATAATTTTTTTATCCTAGTTTTGTTTGTGATGGTTATAGGTCATTGTTTGTAAAAATGTAAGCAGAAAAAAAAATCTGAAGCTATATTATCCTGTATGGCTGGGAAGTTCAGTGTGTGTTTATATGGGGTAAGTGGGTGTGACAGGATAACTTACACCCTATTTCATAGTGCAAGTTGTAGAGGTTTAGATAACACACTGAGAAATGGAAACCCCCTTGATATTCCAAGAAATCTTTCATGCCATGTAACGGGTTTGGAGCGTTTTGAGTCATTGCTACAGTATATGTTAGGGTGCAGCTGTGAGTTTTCACATTTTACCTTGTTTCCCAAGAATGGTTTGGTTTTGCAACAGCTGGCTTACATCAGTGGTCCACAAAGCATTTTTTCAAGCACATCTTTTTTCTTTTTGACACACCTCACAAAGCAGACACACCACTGTGTGAGTGCCTTATCTAGCCATAAACTTCCCGTCATTAAGTAACTCATCATCATGAAGAGCGTGCAGAGACGTTCTACATGACTAAAGCATCTCATTGAGAACGAGTCTCAATTAACTCCATGCCATAGGAAAATTACACTCATAGCTTTCAAAATGAACTGAGATCCAATGAACTGCCTCAAGTAGAGCTTAAGAGCTCTTCTTTTGTTATATTTCAAATGTTAAGGAAAAGGGATTTTTAGTGTATTGAGTCAATGGATCAACATTTTAAGTTTTACTTGTGGCCTCCCTTGGGTCAGAGCAACAATTATTATAATGACAAATTTGATACCTTGCACAAGACTTTTTTGCCCCTTCAAGAGAATGATTTTGTTATAGATTCAAAAGCAACATATCAGAGACATAGAACATTATATTTTAAACTCAAGAAAGTCCAGTTGACCATGTAAAGCAGCAATGTTCACAATGTTCACAATACACTAGGCAGGGGTTTAGCTTATTTAGATGGAATACTGTTTGACATGACATTGAAAATGTATTTACGCTGTACGCTGACAATTCATTTAATTGAGCTCTCGTGGTACAATCCCATTATCATGTGGTCCCTTTGAACATTTCACGCCTTGTATGGGATGTGTGTGTCTGTGTGCGAGTATAGATAACAGATTAGGATTCTTAGGTTTTCAAACCAGTCATGATCAGTGGTCAATGTGGTTGTCTTTGTCTCGAGATGACGCATACATTTTGTGGTTCACTGTGGCTTTTTCGCTTGAAGGAAATGTTTTAACATTTTAAAGTGTCAAAAGCAACTCCTATTATGTTGGTTTTTATTTGTGTAGAATCATTTGAAATACAAAAAAATGACAAATCTTGATCACTGGTAGGAAGCAAGCAACATATGTGGATTATGAAATATAAAGAGATACAAATATATTCTTTTGTTATATCTAATATTCTATGAATCAAAAATGTGAATGTAAAACATTTTAAGCAAAGTGTCTACTGCTATATCATGCTGTGTGATGTCGATAAATATATAAATATTCAGAAATGCATTATTCCATGTAACCAGGGGTGACGTAACCACATGAATGTAAACGGAGCAGCTCTGGCATTTCTGAGTGATGCTTACAGAATAATGTGTACAACTACAAAACTGTCCTTTTGATTGTAAGTGACAAATATATATGAAAAAGTTCAAATATGCACACTATAACAATAAAGTCCTTTCTAGTACACACACAGATAGAAACCAGTGTTTTGTCTGTTCTTATTAGAGTATTTTCTGTTGAGATTTTGTTTTTACCACACAAACAGTGCTCATCATTTTGTGACTCTTGGTCATATTTGTAAATAGACTACAAAGTGTTATGTTCTGCTGAGGACAGGCTGACAGTGCTGTTTTCTGTCTCTCAATAGCATTCTGCTTTTTGTGTGCATTCTGTTTACCGGATGTACAGTACACCGAGCCTTAGCTACACAGATGCCGACCATGTGTCCCCTCTCTACCACACAACAATGTAATTCATAAGCTGGAAGATTCTCCTCTTTTCTCTTTCAGTACAATCAATGAAAGTTAGGGTTAGATGGGTTGACTGATTCATAGTGGGACTCATAATATCCACTGAACAGTATAACAGAGTCTGTTAAATTGTTTTGAACGAATCTTTGCAGTACAGACACTAGACCAAGCATTTTTATGAACCAATTGTGATTTTTTTTTTTACCTGACAATCTATTACTCCCTCTTTAGCATATATATGCTCATTAACTGCTTAGTCTGTTAGACCTATAAAGCCTACTGTATCATATTTGATACACAAATATCTAAGGCCTCAAAATTATCAACATGATCAAAACCTGTTTTGCACAATTTACTACATGCCTAGTGTCGTCTGATTGATAGTTTTCAATTGATTCGATACTTTTTTAGCAAGTAAATGGCCTTTTAGTGTAATTCTAAAAACATCCCCTGAAGGTTGTGCTTCACAAGTCTTTTTGCTCTTAAAATATTTATTCATTTTTTCCGAAGTAAAAGTAAGAATGACTTTTATATTATTAGTAATAGTTCAAGATCAACACTTACTGGACTGAAGCAACTTAAATCATTATAAAACATAAATCATAAAAGCATCATCTTTATGTCTGCTATATTATTAAAAGTTCTCATTGATTTGCACTGCAAGCTATCAGAATTTCATCTTATTTTTTTAGCCATATAATTATCAGCAACTGCACCCAACTGCATATGTTTGGGCCTCTTAATAAAACTGAGGTGTTTTTTCCCCCACCTTAAGTATGAGCTCCATATATCATACTATATGACTCACAAAAGCCTGGTGTATCAATATGCAACTTTTTTTTTTGTTCTGAAGATTCAGTAAAGTTCCATTTACAAATAAATAAATTCATTAATTAATTGAAAAAAAAAATCTGACAATTTTGTAAGGCTTTTCAGGGTAATACCTAGTGCATTACATTTTCAAGAAGGGGATCTCTTGTCAGTATTTATAATAAAAGACAAAAAAGGTGAAAATCCAAATGTTTTAATTCAATTTCTATTTCACTATGACAAATTTGGCATGCAGTTATGTTAGGGAGGTTTAGGAAGTAAAGTTTATAGAATGACTGAAGGGATTCGATTCTCACGCACACAATATGTAATCTTATAGGACAAATGAAACAATGTACCCTTGACCTGGTATCAAGAAATTAAAAGGTTTTAATGATTTGCTTATAAAGAAAAAATTGCAGAAAGACAAAAAAACAAGGGAACGACACCAATTAGTCTGAAAGACAAACTACATGAGCAGGAGACAGCAGGAATTAAGTGCCTGAAAGGAGATTAGAGGCTTTATTCTGCTTCAGTTTCTAATCTTGGGAGAGAAAATAAGGAATGAAGGAGAGAAAATGACAAGCTTCTGCAACAGAGATATGGATGCAGACTAGAAGAGACAGGAAAAGCATTTAAAAAAAACACGAAGAAACCTCAAAGAACCAACCAATATTAGAATGTATTGAGAGTAAAAACTCCAATCAAACTATAAACTGTACTGAAACGCCACAGTTCAGGGATCCTGTAGGTGAAAGGTCTCTCCACCTCTCAAATGTGTCCTTAACACGCAAAGTTAAATGGGTTACCGATGCTTTAACTCTCACCTGCAGAGTGTCTGTGTGTGTGAATGAGGTGCTAAGAGTGGAGTCAGATTACT